ATATATATATATATATGTATATATGTGTGTGTGTGACTAGAGGCTAATATGGCTATAAAAGGGGAGCAAATTTCGTTATAAACAGAGTGCACAAGGTTAATTACATATATGAAATGTGGAAGATTTACGTGCATAATACGCAATTTTACATACATACATATCTAAAACAACTTGAATTTTTACATATTTATGCATGGAAAGATGTTTTTCTTTTATATTTTTTTGAGTTAAAATAATGATACTTTCAATGTGATATGACACATTTGAGTGAGATAAACGTAAAAAGTCAGTTTATGAAAAAATTATTTCATCAGAAGTCCTGTTGCATTTTTGCATCAGAACTCTAATCGGGTTGTGCCACATGCAAAACTCCAATCAGTGTCTGTCACGCATATCGCAGACCCACCTTAGGGAAAAAACAAACAATTTAATACATGGGTGAGTCTGTCTGTAAACATGTCAGATCCTATGTAAAACTGCATCAGGACTCCTGATGCAATATTTTTTTGAGTTTATGTGTTATACATGTAATTTCATAAGACTTGTGTGGTATGTATATGTAAATGGGATCCCATGAAGTATCATATGTTGGACTCCAAGAAATTCACCATAGTCGCATCTGCAGTAATGGATGCCTGAGATGTCTATGCTACAAATTAACTGGTCATAGCCTTTTGATGAATGATTTCTTGCAGCTGATAAAATTATCATGTAATCTGCATTTATTCGCATAATTGTAGGACAAACAATGGTATATGCGCAAAATAACTTGCATCATTTATTATCAATAATATTAAACAAAACAAAAAAATCTTACAAAAATAGAAGACAACTTTTGTACATTATGAATTAACTGATGGAACATCACCTAAACACAAGGCTACAAACGGGAGCTTACTATTATTTTGGGCATTTACATGCATACCTCACAAATTTTTAGTATTTACATAATGCCCCCATAAATTTTGTTTATTTTCTTATGGTGGGCAATCTCCACTGCCACCTCCAGGCCCATGGTGACAATTCGAAGGGTCCGACCCCGGTCCCCCCTTCGGCTTCGACTCGAATACTAATCCCGCCTTAGTCGTGATTATTCCTCGCTCTTCTTCCAACACTCTCGCCGCCTCCGCCGCCGGTGATGCCTGTAGAACGTAACTTGCCAACAGCAACGAGGCAATCAAAACTGACCAGATCGAAAGGCTGAAACTTCTTTTTGTAGAAGTCATGAGAACTGCTAACTTTACTGCTTATGAACTAATCGTTGTATATATTGATTGGTAGGTTCTTGGACAGAGAGGGAGAGAGAGTATATGTGAGGGCTGATAGTTTAGCTGAGTTGATGAGTAATGGAGAGGGGAGGGTGGAGCTACGAAGTATTTTATAGTAAGGGAGGGGTTATGACTTGGTCTCCATTTGGCTTAATTTACGTGTAATTTCTAATGCAAACTTTCCTTGGAAAACGCGGGAGTTCAACCATTGAAAAAACTCAAAAGTTTATGTATTTTTTAGTCAAATTGGTATTTACAATTATTATTATTATTAATTTCTTGAATATGACTGCTAAAAAGAAGATTTCCTATGCATTTACTCATCAAATACCAAAAATTATATATATATATATATATATATATATATATACAGGGAGGCACTTTGGTGATAGTGCTAGCTTATGGAATTGTGTGGATAATTTGATTTTGGCTTGGAAGCCTAGTATTTTCAATAACAAAAAATTGGGTTATTTTCCCCTTATGGTACTTTTGTTTATTTGGGTTGCCAGAAATAGTATTAAATATGAGGGGTCTTTCTCTTCTCCTACTTTGACTGTGGCTTATATCTTTGTTCATTATTCTAGAGCTTGTCGATGATTTACCTTTACTAGCTTTCAATCTAGGGAGGGCAGGAGGCATAGATTAATATGCAGGCACTCCCCTTCTTATGGTTGGGTAAGTGTTAATGTGGATGGTAGTTGGGCTAAAAATAATGCTGATGCTGGTGGTATTTTTAAGAATCATTATGAAAAAATGCTTATGCTTCTTCTTCTCTCTTGTGTGTGATTCTTCTTTTATTGAGCCTGAATGGTGGGTTATTTTTCTGACTTTAATTTTTTTCTTTTTGGTATATATGTATTTACTTGAATGTTTTATACAGTATATCGTTTACATGATTTTTAAATCCTTTCTTTGTGCTCCATCTTTTGACATTTAATGATATTGCCTAAGGGCTTTATATATATATGATCTAATGATTTTTAAATCCTTTCTTTGTGTTTTATCTTGCAAAATTTCTTCATAGCTTTGTGGTTCTCCACCATTTGTTTGTGGAACAATCGGCATGGGGTGCCCCAGAACCACTCTCCTCTTCACTTTCATCGTCAATAGAACTATGAACTGTCAGCAATGGTGCATCTTGTACTTCAGATATCACATTTGAGTTATTATTCTCTATCTTCTTAGGATTTCTGCAGTTTCACTTTATATGGTCAGCCTTGCCACAATTCCAGCGGGCCTGATGACAAAACTTTGATTTTGATCTCCATTTATTTGAGTTTTTTTCATGTCATCTCCTCTGAAATCAACATTCAGTGTCAAACTCAAACCAGATATCTAGCCATAATCTTTCTGGCTCACCTCCTCAGCCAAAATTAAATCACGAATATCATTACATTTTAATTTAGATTTACCAACAAAACTGCTAACTGTCATCCTCATGCTTCCCAACTATTTAGCAACGATGTCAACAATATCAGCGCACGTATCTCATCATCAAAATCAATTTCAGCTAACGACAATTGATTTGTGATAGTATTGAAATCATTCAGGTACTAAGCAATAGAAACAACTTCTGTCATCTTCAAGTTGAATAATTTCTTCATCAAGTACACTTTGTTATTCGCTGATTTTGTTATTCGCTGATGATATTCGCTGATGACTTTTCATACATACCTGATAAGGC